ATGTTTTCTTCCATAAAAATAACTTTCATATCCGCTTATGTTGTGATAGGAGATTTTAGACTTTCATCCATTTTTCCCTCCTCTTTTTGTTGTTATTTCAAACATAAAATCCATTCATTTGCTCAAATCAACGGTTGACAGAGGACTATGGTTTCGTAGCAAGGAAATCACACATATTTGTAGATGGTTACGAGGCTGGTTTGATGTGCAAGAAATTTTTAATGTTGTGATTTATTAATTCGGAAATAAATACCACAGCTTTAACTGCGCATATCGCTTCGATTCATTGAGCCCTCTTCTATTTGACTAATAGAACGGATTTTTCATTTTTCCATGATACATATCAAGTTGGTGGTTTGACTTTCGCAGACGCTTCCCTTTTCGGCTAGGTTCTTTACTTAATTTTAGAAATTGATATCGTGATTCGTATGTTGCTTTAGTAAGAAGTGGTGCGTTTCGGTAGCACCAGCCCTTTTTGAAAGGCCGGGCAGAGGTCGCTGATGAATGAGCAAATTCATAGTGAAAACTATGCTCATTGTCTTTTTTGACAACAAAGGCATCGTCCACCATTAACATCGCATACGATTGGAAGATGCAAAATGACAACGCCCCGGCTCGCAGCGCCTTTCTTGTAAACAGCTACCTAACCAAAACCGTCATTCCAACGCTTCCCCAGCTGTAGCTCCCTTGGACTGATTCAAAAGGAAACTAGTCCAAAAGTAACTAGTTCCAAATTAACTGGTCCGAAAATAGCTAGTCACAAGGTAGTTTGGTAGTAACAAGTTGTAAGGTAACTAGTTCCAAAAGTAACTGGTTTCAAACGAAACTGGTTTCAAAAATAATTGGTTCAAAAAACATGTTTGAAAAGTAACTGGTTGTAAAGTAACTAGTTTGTAAGTTGATAACAATTTTAAGCCTTTTTGTTGAGCGGGGAAGAGATCGCTGATCAAGACCGGAAGAATGCTCAAATCCAAAGTGAAAACGTTGCTAATTGTCTTTTTTGACGTCAAAGGCATCGTCCACATAGAATTTGTTCTCCTCCCCGGTACACAGCGACTTTCTTGTGAACAGCTACCTTACCAAGGCCAGCATCCTAACGCTTCCGCAGCTGCCTTACGATAACAACGCTATCTTTTTAAGTCTCTTAGTGCAAAAAACTCATTTGGAAACTTCCACTGGCGTGTTTTAACGAATCCAAAAACTACTAAGAAAACGTCGATGTCGGTATTTTATGTGTTCCGACCTATAGATGAATGTGGTCATAGATTTGGGTATACTGAGATTTGACGATTTTTCTATTACTGTTTAGACTTAAATATAAAATGTAAAAATATACATAATTGTTTCCGAAGAAAAGAAACGGTTAAGGAAAGGTGACTGAGTTATCAAACAGGCCTAGTCCTTAAACAATGCAAGTAGTGTGAATAGACATTTGTATATACCCACATTTGTGCATTAAAATGCTAAATTTGTTATTTCAATTATATATGTATGTATATGTACATATGTATATAAAGTATATGCTTATATGCAAACATACTGCCAAGGCTGTTTAACAACTTGGCATATAAAAGTTGCAAGTGCTTCAAATATTTGCGTGCAAAAGGACGTTGGTGTGAAACACTAGCAATTGGAAGAGGCGGGAACTCACACATTCCCGCTAAAATGCTTGCTCAACGAACACAAAGGAATAAATATACATGCACATTGGTACACATAAATGCATATGTATATATTATATATAGAAGTTTAGCGTTACAGCTACACTTGCATATAGCCAATCCGTTATTGGTTTAAGCGTCACTGAGTGGCGGACTATATTTAAGCCAATACCTGTGGGCTTGTAGCGCCCAAAAGCATACCTTGCGCTTTTGTAGTTCGACTGTTCTGCCTTTCTTTTGAAATTTTGGCAATCCACACTCACCGAACTCCCTGGAGTACATTTCCAAACGATTTAAATGCGCGAATTTCACATTTCCCCTTCAAACTCGCTTGCATCAGCGAAACAACGAAAATATAAGAAATAAAGTGAGAACAAAAATATCTACAAGCAAAAATAAAAAAAAAATAAAACAAGAAAACAACAAAATCACACAAGCTACACTTTGTGGGCACGTCGCAATGGAACCGCAAAATGCGAGTCGCTCAGACACGTTGAGGCGCTTACGGCATCTAATGCACACACAAAGGGTGTAATTTCATTGAGGTTTGCTGCGTGCGGCAGTGTGCGTGCAGCGAGGTGTATGCATGTGTGTTTCTCTGCATTCGTATAATTCAATCTATAAAAAGTGCTCAGGTCCTTTGAGAGGACTGCTAAAAATTTCGTTCACAATAATTATGAGGACCATGATGATGTTGATGACTGCGTGCTCAGTGTAAATTAAATAAATATCACACACGCCGAGCAACTGTAGTTAGTGAAATTATGAGAAAAGTATAATAAAATTTAAATGTTCACAGATGAAATTTATTTATATGACTAATACTGGCACGAAAGTGTTAGGAATACGATGGCTGTACGTAGTTGTTTTTAGTCACACTCCGACAAAGCGCCTTAAACTCATCACAAAATGTCTGAGACTATTATTTCTATTCCCGCAAGTTCACCTGGATGACTGAAAGTGTGAGACCTAAGGGTTTTTAGACTTCATCTAGTAAAGAAAACCCATTCAAGGGGTTATGTTCAAATTATTCTACCTCTTCTTCTACTTAGCTATTTCCTCAGCTGGAAACTGGCAAAATTTTTGCATCCAATAACAAGTTAAACTCATCAAAAAAGGAAAGGTGAAATGTTTCAGAGAGAGAAGAGTTCAATAGACGTTTACCGTTTCTTGCAGTTGGCCAGCGCCCGCCAAGCTCAGATGAGTTCCAACCCTCTAATAGTAAAAATTACCCGACCGGTTCCCATATTCCCATTCTACGCATACCCCGCAGGTTCGAAACCTTTTTCTGCAAACTCATCAGCTGTGCTCTGTATACAGGGTTTGTTCGGAAATTAATGGGACTGAGTCGATTCAAAAAATTTATTGAACCGATCGTCACAATTCTTCCAAAATTATCAAAATAGGCTCCTTCTGCGTATCTTTGGACTAGTTACTTTCGGTCCAGTTACTCCGGAACTAGTTACTTTTTTTTGCAAGTTATTCTGGGACTAGTCTTTTTTAAAAAGTTACCTTGCGACTAGTTACTTTTGGAACTACTTATTTATTAACTAATTACTTTCCGACTAGTTACTTTTAAAACGAGTTACTTACAACCATCTATTCCTATTATTGAAACGAGTTACTTTGGAAATAGTTACGATCAAAAATTAACTAACAGTTTTTAACATAATCGCCAAGATTTTGTTTGCTTTAAATGAATTTAAGAACATTTATTCCGCATATTATTACTCTTTTTCTTCCTCTTCATAGCTCTTTAGCACTGCTTATTTGGCTGTCCACGATTTGGCTGTAATAATGCAACTAAAGCTTTATATAAATAAAGTAACCTTTGATATCCCCCGAAGATTAATAAATACCGAAAGAAAAAAATTAAATATGATTCAAGACCTCCCTATTCCCTGATAAACTAAAACAAAACTACCTAAAACTACTATATCACTATTATTTTCGTACAAAATTATTTCCATTTTTCAATTTCTACATTTCGTTTTTCTTCACTGGTGCACTTTTGTAACGCAAATAATCCGCAATTTATTGCTCAAGGTCACTGTAATACGACTACCGTCATGTGTATGGCATTGAAATCTTTTTGAATGGTTATCGATTGCCAATGCCAATTTCGAGACCACTTACATAACTATAAACACCTACACACAAAGCACACACTCACATACACCAATATCATCTGATACTGTATATAAATAACTTTTATTTACTCTCAGTTGGCGGGTGGAATTTTCTCAGAAAAATGTCGCAAGTGTTCGCCAAGAGGTTTATAAATGCATTTCTTTCAATTTTTATTAACGCATTTGCTGGAATTTTTCATCACAAGCTGACAAAGTGCAATTTATATAGCCCTCTTCAAGGCGCTATTGGCTACCGAACATAAATGGAATCCCAGCGTTGTTGTGTGCAGAGAGAGGAGAAAAGAATATGTAATCTTTAAATGGAAAACTCAGAAAAAATTATGAAAATAGTAACGTGATTCTGTTTGGAATTCTCAATAAGTTTATGATACATTTTTTATACAGAATGCAAGCAGGCACAGTTAATGCTTTAAATAAAAGCCTCTAGCACGAAGATGATCTAACAGAAAAGGTGGCTGTCAGTTAAATTGTTAGGAACAACAGTTTTGATCATGGCCTCCAGACGAATCTAAATTTACAAGCGTCTCAGCTACGGCCAGCTAAAGGCTAAAATGGAACTAAAACCAAAGCAGACAGCCAATTATACAGGTAACCCAGTGTAAACAATTTGCCAAAGAGCTATGAAGAGGAAGCAAAAGAGGAAATGTATGCGAAATAAATGCTTTTAAATTCATTGAAAGCAAAACAAATCTTGACGGTTATGCAAAAAACTGTTAATTTTTGATCGTAACTAGTTCTTATGTAACTAAAAGTAGCTGGTTGCAGTAATTTGTTAAAAAATAAAGCTAGTTTCAAAAGCAACTGGTCCAAAAGTAGTTGGTCAAAAAGCAACTGGACCGAAAGTAACTAGTTCCGAAAGCAATTTGTTCGAAAGTAATTAGTTCAAAAGTAACTGGTCCAAAGGTAAGTAGTTCCATAGTAACTTGTCCAATTATATTAGTTCCAAAAGTAACTGAACCAAAAGTAAATAGTTTAAAATAGCAAAGTAACTGATTGAAAAGTAACTAGTTTGTAAGTTGATAACAGCTTCCGAACTAATTTGAAGATATAGACCTAAAGGGAAGATAAAAATCCGGGTACGTGCCGATACCGTAGACCCAACTGTCGTGGGAACGGCAGACACTTGAGTAATAATTTAAGGTATGCGATTCGTAAAATTAACTGTAATAAAACTTTTTGTAGCACTCACCCATTATATGAGGACAGATCACCATATGAGTCAGCTTATTTCGAGTTTCATTACGTAATATTTGACAAATTTTAAATTTTAACCACTTTAACACTTTTTAAAAACACTTCACTTCATGTTCCGAAACAACAGTCTATTCTGAAAAATATAGAAAAAATATATTAAAAGATTATTCTAACTAAACGGTCAACAAACTGAACCAGAAGCTTTTTATAGGTCATATTATGCAATAGAATAAAAAAAGTAAATTAAATAAATAAATAATAGAGACTCAAACGAAGGGTCAATCGGGTCTGGCAAGACATCGCAGCCGATTGGACGATGCACCACTTTCTTGTGAACAGCTACCTCATCAAAGCCGGCATCCCAACGCTTCCGCAGCCGCCCTGCTACCCACATGTGACCCCCTCGGCCTGGTTCAGAAGAAACTAGTCGAAAAGTAACTATTACAAAAGAAACTGTGCCGAAAGTAACTAGTTGCAAGGTAATTAGTTCCAAAACTAACTAGTCGAAAAGAAACTGGTTCTAAAGTGGTTGAAAAGTAGTTGTAAGTTGATACCAGTTTTCCAACTAGGCCTGTTTGGAGGGCCGTGAAGAGGTCGCTGATGAAGACTTGAAGAATGGGCAAATCCGAAGTGAAAACTTCTAACTGTAAAACCATTCGGTGAATCAAAACCTGTGTGTCCGTTCCAAATATGTAGAACCAATTTTCATAGAAAAAACGAAGTGTTTTTGAACCTCATAATCGCCAGTCAAAGAAAAATATAAGAAAACAAGTAAGGAAGGGCTAAGTTCGGGTGTCACCGAACATTTTATAGTCTCGCATGATAAAGTGATAATCGAGATTTCAGGCGTGGTTGTGAACCGATTTCATCCATATTTGGTACATGTCATCAGGGTGTTAAGAAAATATTATATACCGAATTTCATTGAAATYGGTTGAGTACTTCCTGAGATATGGTTTTTGGTCCATAAGTGGGCGACGCCACGCCCATCTCAATTTTTACAAAAAGCCTGGATGCAGCTTCCTTCTGACATTTCTTCCGTAAAATTTAGTGTTCCTGACGTTTTTTGTTAGTCGGTTAACGCACTTTTAGTGATTTTCAACATAACCTTTGTATGGGAGGTGGGCGTGGTTATTATCCGATTTCTTCCATTTTTGAACTGTATATGGAGATGCCTAAAAGAAACGACTCTATATAGTTTGGTTGACATAGCTATAGTAGTTTTCGAGATATGTAGAAAAAATTTAGTAGGGGGCGGGGCCACTCCCACTTTTCCAAAAAAATTACGTCCAAATATGCCCCTCCCTAATGCGATCCTTTGTGCCAAATTTCATTTTAATATCTTTATTTTTGGCTTAGTTATTGTGGGCATGGAAGTGGGCCGGTTTTGCCCATCTTCGAACTTAACCTTCTTATGGAGCCAAGAAATACGTGTACCAAGTTTCATCATGATATCTCATATTTACTCAAGTTACAGCTTGCACTGACAGACAGACATCCGGATTTCAACTCTACTCGTCACCCTGATCACTTTGGTATATATAACCCTACATCTGACTCTTTTAGTTTTAGGACTTACAAACAACCGTTATGTGAACAAAACTATAATACTCTCTTTAGCAACTTTGTTGCGAGAGTATAAAAATATCCGTCAGAATCAAAATCCAGCTTAATCGTAGTTTTGAGAAATAGTGCTTTAAGCATTGGATTTAGCATGATAATAGAGCTCTCATAATTATTTGGTAGACACCAAAATGGTTGATTCGAAAACTCTTTAAAAGTATTTAGTAATTTATCAATCACTGCTCATGACCTTGACACATTCAAAAGTAGTAATTTCCATGGGCCACTCAAGTAGATGAGAATTTAAGAATTTATAGCCAGGAGACTGAAAAAACGCACAAAAACAATACAATGTGAGCCGGCCTTTTTGGCACTATGTTGTAGCTGCTAATTTCGTATGATTTTATGCACCTTCTGGGCAATTTATATGCGTTGCCAATATCCGAGAGCGACTGCGACATACAAATAAACGGGCATACGATAATTCACCGACCGACCAAAGGATACACAATATTAAGCACACACTCAAAATGGCCGAAAATCAAAAAATGCAAGCCAACTCCTTCGATGGCCCGGTGAAACGTGATTTATGCTGCACAGGAAGTAATGAAAGCTAGCCGGGCTGCATGCCGGGCAGAGCCAGTCTCGACTGGCCAATGGCAGAGGGAAAGGAAATCATTGGGTACAAAAGGTGAAGTGTGCTGTGGCAGCAGAACGAACCCAACCGAGGTAGTCGGTCGATATTAATGGCCGGTTAGTGAGCGGACAACATTAAGATAATCCATCGCTGTGCCGTCAAACGCATACCGACGAAAAAGTGACTGTGCACAAGGACATCGCCGAACGATGTCTTTCGGTTTTCTTTTGTCATATATTTTTTAATGGTGTTTAAATAAATTTCCTTCTGAGTCTGACGAAAAAAACTGGAAAGTTAGCAATTCAAAGGCAATATTTATTGCACTTCTTCCGAAGTCCATGTGTATTAACTGTATTAGAAGTTGAATTGGCATGAGTCTATTACGTATACTGTAAGCTTATGAGGAAGCTTCACAAGGAAGCCGAAATCAATTACAAGACATAATAGTAGAAATATGGTGAAAGTTGTTTGCTTTAAGAGATTGGAATTCACAGGAATTTATGTAAAGCCGCACGCAGAGTTCATATATTAATCGGAAGTTTGGTTGACTGAAAGGAATTTGGGGTATTTCCAACAAACTTAAGGGCAGGCTATTTTTCGAGCGTCATTAACCGATCCTAACCTAATCCCACTTAATGGGAACTTGCAATCATTCTCGTTCTGCATGCTTTTCTGTCTCAACATTTCTCATAAATAAAAATTTTGAAGGTAAGATATTCCATCCAAAGAGAGATGAATTTAAACAACCAAGGAAATATGTATATGTATCGGGTGATTTTTTTGAGGTTAGGATTTTCATGCATTAGTATTTGACAGATCACGTGGGATATCAGACATGGTGTCAAAGAGAAAGATGCTCAGTA